TACACTAACGTGACGTTTAGGCACTTTGTTTAACTATTATACCTGATGTACGTTTTTTTGGGGGGGAGGGGGTTAATGGAAGGTTCCAAAACGCGACATTAATTTCTTGACGACCTAATATTTGGACCTGTGTTTACTATCGCGCTTATGAAGCTACTTTTGTATAAGTCATTTGATTTTTTTTTAAGTTAGTTAATGTCATTTGTAACATAGGCCTACAACAATTTACAGCAGTGTACACATATTCAAGCTTATAGAAACATTAAAGGAGGAAATAAGGTAATATATTATAGTTATGTGGACTTGACGTTGAACTATTTTCACCAGATAATTTAAAAGAACCCGTAAACGAAAGACTGACGTTACGGCCCTAACATAATTGACAGTAACAATATGAATTACATCTGCAGAGAACAAATTCATAAGTTTTTACTTCTAACTGAAGAATATTCGCCTTTGAAAATTCCGCTTTTAGAGTTCTAGAGGTTAATGTTGTATTCATAAGTATTGCAGTTTGAATATTTATCCTTCTCATTTTATCTCTCAAACAGACTGCTAAATATGCGAAGACCATCTAATCTCATACAGCTTTTGTGTACTTGAATAAAACCCTTTCTTAATATTTCTGAGCCAAGGCTAACAAAATAATTCATTCATTATATTCTGTCTATCTCTGATAGTTACAAATCGCAAAATATTGTAGTAAGATAGAGGGCGTTGAATTATTCATGTTACCCCAAGAGAGTTGTATCTTTAAAACTAGTGGGCACAATTGTCAAATGACCCTATGACAGCAAGAGAAATCCACCTCCATCACCAAAATGGGCAAGTGTAAAAGACTTCTTTCATCTTCGAAAAAAATTTAAATGCTAGAGAGCAGTATCTGCTACAGCTGTTCATATGGGCAGGAAAAGGGGAAAGGCCATTTCTTTTCACAAGTGAGTATATTTTCTTCGCAAATTTATGGACAATAAAGCTATTAAAGACAAAAAATTACAAAGGTTTTGTAAAATTTACCGTACACTGCTACTGACAATGTACATTGACTCATTGTGTAGCCAAGTATGGGACCTACATGAGTAGGCTAATCAGAGATATGTTCTCAGGAGTAGAAATAATGGGATTTGAGGGCCTACTGCCCCCTAAAAGGCCCAAACTGTCTGAGGGCTCTCAAGGTATTTTTTGTATCTTGGAGGCTCTGAAAATAAGTGGTGTTTGATCAGTCGTGATATAGGCCCTTAAAGTCTGTGTATTTTTTCTGAGCCATTCCGTTGCAGCAGCAGTCTGTTGAAACGTTCACACAACATCCTTCATGTCGTACAAAGTGAAGTCTTAGAGAAATGGAATGATTTCGTCTTCACAGACTTACAAGATTATGTTATAAACTGTGATTTGAGTTTCGAGAAGATTATCAAGTAATTCAGTTTAAGAAAGCGATATTTGGAATATTTACTAATATAGTTTCACATAATAATGAGCAGGTATTCACAAATTGCTTTTTCAAACTCAACAATGCGTCAAAACGCCATCAACTCACCAAAGCTGTCCTATTCTTGCACCGATAGACACTTAAGACTTGAGGTAAAAACTACTTATATTTATTTTTATGGGTAAGTGTTTGACGATGAAATGCAAGGAGAGGTTTACAGCAACTTTATAGTGCTGTTGCGCACTTATGTTTGTTTACTATTCTTTCTTCGTTGCCTGTTTTGGACGACATTTGGGATTCCCCATGACGGCACAACGCCCCTCATTGGCTGAGACAGGAGTGCGCGCTCTAGTATTAGAGATGTTAAAGATTTAACTTTATTGTTACTCCAGATGAAACCTTAGGATATTTTCGTACGAGGCTACTATAACATTGTTGTTTTTAAATTCAAAATTCTTATAAATAGAAATAACAACTCGATTTGATTTTTTCCCAACAAATGAACACTCAGTAGAGGATATTTGGGTTTTGTCAACATCAACCTAAATCATTCTCTTTTTTCAACAACACAAATGCGTTTTTCAAACAAGTTTCAGCCATGCCAAGTGGATAAGGTGCTCGACTCGCAATCTGCGAGTTCGAATCTCCGTCCCATCAAACATACTCACCCTTTCAGCCGTGGAGGCGTTATATTGTGATGGTCAATCCCACTATTCGTTGGTAGCCCAAGAGTTGGCGGTGGTTAGTGTTTACTATCTGCCTTCCCTCTAGTCTATCATTGCTAAATTAAGGCGGCTAGCGCAAACCAAATCAAACAAGTTTCTTCAATAAGTAATGTAATGCAGGCATAATTTCATTAAAACTCGAGGTAATTGTAAACTCAGTAAAACTGTTAAAAGAATCTTTTCGTCAGTTGACACTCTTGATTTTGTAAAATTTTTATTGATCTATGTGCAAAATAAATAAACTAAAGCTAAACAGTAGTTATAAGTCGATGCCTCTTGTGTTAGACATACTAACTAATCGTGACTTTGGGAATGTTAGAAATGAAATAAAGCCTACTGTCGTCTCTTTGTTTGATATATATGTATTATGTACTATGATTTTATGGTATAATAAACCGGAAGTTCAAACTCGTTATACAACCCACCATTTACAGGAAGTTAACTTATTACTGATCATGCGCTGATACCACACCCCAAAAAAAAGGCAGCCATATTTGCCGCGTTTCAGATATTGGCTTAATCATTCGAGTAAAGCGGTGGTGTGTGTGAGTGTTTCGAGTTGTTTTGATAAAGTTACTGTGGATATAACCGCTGACCACCTTTTCAATTTCACATTATACGACAATAATACTCTTTAAAGTGAGTAAAAAGTATTTCTACGTCGTCCGTTTTTCAACTTAAACTTTAAAAATTAAAGTTTGATTTATGTGAAACTGAAATGAAAATCTGGATTAAAATTTAAATGAATAGGCTTATTAATAGTAATACTAATAGTACTATTGCTAAGTAATACTGATACTAATAGTATAATTATTAACGTTATTAGTATGTGGCATATTTTGTTTTTTATTTCAATTATTTTAAGCCTAATTATTGCATGACATAACACGCGCACAACAACTTGAACAAGGAATTATTTGGTCCTTCAAAGTTCAACAGTTCAAGGCTGTCCTTGCATACCTATCTGAGTTGGAGAATGTAAACTTTAAACTCACCTTTTGTTTTTCAGGAATTTATCGATTACCTTATAAAAGTGATAGTCTTAAGTCTTAAACTGTTGTGCCAACCTCCACCACTGCCAGTCGTAGCTTATTAACCATACGGTTTATACCTAATGATAATATTAATATATTATAAGGTAACCCTTTCATCCCCAAAATTATTTTAGTGCCACTTTTCTGGATCATTTCCAATAAATGACAGTATATTTTCTTAAATAAGGACATCAAAACTGTACACATTATTTCAAGTGAAGCCTAACTAGTGATTTGTATAGAGATAATCACCTTTTTTGACTCATTCATAATCAGTATATCTAGAAACAACTAAAATTTTTATTATCCTTACAACCAGCAACAGAACAATGCCTCAATCAATGGCTTGAGTGACCTATCAACCACTAGTCCCAAGGGTCCAGTTTGACTGGACTCCAATATTAAAAAGTTTTTTTGTTTTCTCTCAAACCACTATACAGTTCAGTTAACTAGACTTTTCCCAACCCCTGACAATGTGATATTCTTAGCTTATTTTTTGTGTGACATCTTATCAAAAGGTTTTTGAAAGTCTGTGTACCCAGGGCTGAGTGTCAGTTCTACAAGGACACCAATGTCCTAAGGCTGTATGTATAAGTCACATTCATGTGGTTGTGGACTTCATGTTAAATAGGTGATTCAGAACTGAATGTGTTTTTGAAGATGGAATGCTTTTGGAAGATTGAATGAACTACAATGCTAAATTAAAAATTCATCATTATCCCTTGTGTTTATTGTGAAGTTTATGATGCTCATGTATTAAATTTCTTATGATTTTACTTTACTTATATTATGAAGTTTGATAATTTCTTGTTTATACATGTCACTGATCAATGCTTTGAAATATCTTCCTGTCAAAAGTATAATTTCATTGAGTAATATTTCCATACGTGCAGAGTTGACTTGTTTAGGTGTGTTTTTTCTTTAGGCTTCCATCATTTTGCAATTACTATATGTGAAATTGACTAATTTTTTGTTCCATGCTCCTTTTAGCATCATCTAGAGGAGTAAAAGTTGAAAATAATTAAAAACATAATTTACTAGCCATTGTCCAAGAACACTTGTCACTTGGATTTCATTGTTAACCTGAACCAACATTAGAATGATAGCTGATAACCCAAATAACTGACATGTACACTCGCCTCTAGAACATTTGCTTTTCTTGTCGAGATGACACTTGGCTCTAGATACACTGCCTTCTTAAAAATTTTAGTACGCCAACTCAACATACTTTGCATTGTTCAAATTAGAGCTAGGCATTAGTGCAATTAATTAATATAATCTGTTACATCGATTAATTTTAATTAAGATTTATGTGAAAAACAGTAGGCATATGTGGCCAATCTAAAAGTCTGAATTGTTGAACTTAATCATATAAGTTGGCATGATGCATATTTTTGAACTTTATGCAGATTGTTAGAGATTAAGAATTTTAAACGTAATTTTAAAAACTTGAACATTAATCTTCATCAGCACACCTTTGGAAAGTTACATTGTGAAACACCTGGAGTCCAACCAAACCCCAACACAAAATTACCGTTATAGTAAGATCTGGATTGAAATTCCAAAAATCAATTGCATTGCATCTTTTATTAAGGTTAGCATGCAATGTGAAACACCTAAAAATATATGTATTCAAGAGGAAATATGTTGACCAATCAAGAAATTACAAAATTACATTGTTCCTCAGTAAACAAATAAGTAGTACTAAATCATTCCTTATACAAATAGTGTATCAAAAATATGCCCAAGTTTTATTATACTCCTATATTCAGGTCATTATCCACCAATATATGATAAGATTACCATAATACTGCAAAATCCAACTTAAAACTGAAAGTGTACACTGTGGATCATCTTGAGTCTGACTGACCTCAACACAAATGTATCCATATAGTAGGCTGTGGATTGAAAATCCGATAAGCAGGTTATTTAAAACCTGCTTTTTATCAAACAATGTTTCTGTAAAATAGGGCATCATAAGCAGTATTCACAGTGAAGACTTGTTTAGGAATGAGATGCACATACACGCTTTCCACATTGATGTTACAAGCAAAGAGGTGAGATGATACTGTAATACTTTGATTAATTATCCTCTACTATAGCCTGTATAGCGAAATACATGCTTAGAAATTTGTTTCGTATGCTATAGAGCAAACTGCATGTACAGTGATGGTCAATGATAGTATGGGACCTGTAGGGACCACAGATAAATATTAGATTATAGCTATGTACTCCATCTATCTGTTTTAAAAACAATAGTGTCACATTGATCCAGGACTATTCTATGTATTGATATAAATTTGTAATTATTATGTAAAAAGATATACAACCAATAAAGTCATTGGGGTCCACGTGGACACCCAAGTGTGCTGATGAGGGTTAAAAATCTGAAGACTCATTGAAGCTATTAAACAATATTACTTTTACCATCATATTTAAATGTAAAGATGAATCTCATTATAAACACATGTTAAAAAAAAATGTGTGTGTATTTCATGCTATGGTTTGTTTTATTCTTCCTTTTAACCTTTAAAATTGTTAAAAATTACTTGCTCTTTATTAAAGTAACAGTTTAGTATATTGAATGTCACTTTTTAAGTTTTACTTACTGTTTAATATTATACTTTTATTATAAAGATTGTGTTTCATTGTTAGCACATTTAGGACTAATCCAAATCTTCTAAGCTGGTTGAACTTTGTGATATTATATTGAGATTATGGCTGAAAATAGCGTTAGCAGTGGGAGTACCCAATTAATGAATAATACATTCAAATCTTTATAATTTGAAACATAAGAAAAGTAGACTTAATTAGCTATTCTGATTGCTAGGCCAATTTTTAATTTTGCTATAAGTATGTATAGTTAATATTGGTTAAAGTATTTCTTTAAAACAGATGGACATTAAATTTCTGTTTGTACAGTCACTTCTTTGATGTGCGTATATCATAATGAAATGTGAGCATTAAGTCCAACCAACATATTTTGGTATATTAGTTTCTAACTTGTATTTCTCAAAGTTATGAGGACATAAATAGAATCAGTGTGTTTCATAACATGAATGTTTTATTTAGAATAATTTTATAATTGTATTATATTATCTTTTCTTAGATTTATATTTTTCTTTTATGTATGAAAATGATGTATGAGAAACATTGAACATTATAAAAAAAATAGTATGTTCTGAGTGACTTTGAGGCTTAGTTATAAAAGTAATAGATGATGTATCTGTCACATTACATTATGGAATTATAAAATATTTTATGGAATATTTATTAACACACACAC